ACATCTTGTGTCCAGCAGGAACACTAGAAATGAACACAATGTGCATATTCATAGACTCATATATTAACTCCAGTGACAGGAGTCTTATTGTTTATATTCATTATTCCAATATAGCTAAATGCATAGTTTATTGATGTTGAAATGCAAAATCTAAAAATACACTTTGTACTATTCCCATTTGTTCATGTACTTGCTGATTTACTCCAGCTGTACAAATACATTAGCATAAAAATAGGAACAGTGCAGAATGTGGACTGTTTTTCTTTTGCATATTTACTCACATATTTATCCACATTTTCATCACCATGTGTTTTTTTTACATTTAGCTATTGGCACATATGTGTACATAATATTATGTGATGCATAATCCACAGTAAGTTCACACATTCCTCATTCAGCAGCCATTGTAGAGTAAACAGTTGAACTGTTCTTTAAGGTTTATCTGCTGAACTAAAGCATAACAGTCTTGGCTCACTGTGACATTGTGTAGCGTTTAGGTTTTCCATAAATTTCCATAATTTCTGTAATTCCCTTCATATCAAAGAAAGCTTTAAAATATCAATACAAATTTAAACTAATAAATTCAGAATAAAAAAAGACAGTATATCCTCACTTATCTGATGTTACGTTCAGAGTATTGTGGTTGTGTATATTTGTTAGTAAATGTTCACCCATCCAGAAGGATGTTCATACAGTAGCTGCTGGGGAGGACAAAATGTTCCCTCTCACCTTTTCTCCCCCACATTTCCCCAGAAACTATATTTAACAAACTGGAAAGATACCAAAAACCATCAGCACCCTTCACAGCTCCTCCTAACAGAGCATAAGCCAGGAAATGAACATAGTGTTCTTGTAAAACACATTCGGTTTGCCGTAACAGGCTCAGTGGAAACTGTATTAGTCCTTCAAATGAAAACACATCCCTTTGGCAAACTGTTCTGTGATAGTGGAGAAACAAGTTCTTGCATTCAAGCAAGTTTTATGTTGTACTTTAAAGCATATTTCTGGATGTAGATTTTAAGTCCACAAAGATGTTTTCGTTTATCACATTTATGTCGTTTATTATGCTGTTTTTGTATTATTTAAATGAATAGTTCAGGATCTATTGCCAGAAGATAATTAGCCTAGCTTTGCATAAGGAAACAGGGCAAACAGTTGGGGTGTGGGGGTGGTAGTACGACATTTTCCAAATTTAATTTATATTTCTCTATTAAGCTTATTGCTCTGAGCACTCGGTAATAATTGAAGGCAACTCAGATGAGTGTATCAGCATTTTCATCAGCTCCTCTTCTCTCTCATCAGATGGATGGTGAGAAGATATTGTTTAGAGAGATTAAAGTGAATACTGTTAATCTATGACTGAACCAGATGGTTTTTTACACAGAATATATATAATATATATATATAATAGATTGTAGTCTGGCAAGATGGATTTTCCGTGATCTCATGGTTTTGTCATCTCCACAAAGTCCAGCTGCCCTCAAAAGGTTAATAAAGCTAATTGAAATTGTAAAGCAGGACATGCATCCCCATCCCCAGTGGAACAGAGTAAAACAAACGACATATGAACTGTTAATTAGAGATCTGTAGAAGTGCAAGATGGCAGATTGTTTTAAATTAGACAGAGCTAGGCTAGCTGTTTTCCCAAGCTTCCAGTCTCTGTGCTAAGCTAAGCTAACCGCCTGCTGGCACTAGCTCCATACACGGCCTAGAAACATGAGAGTGTCTTCTATATTGGCAAGAAAGCAAATAAACTTCTTCCCCATATTTGTCAATGTAGTCTCAGGTATGAAAAAAGTAATCACTGCTCAGGAATGATTTGAACACATACTGAATACTGATGAGTAATATTTGTATGTTTATAGCTGTGGTTAAGACGCCGCCTGGCAACCTGTGGATCATGGCCGTTCTGACACCTCTCTTCCTGCTGGTGGTGGTGATCGGCATGGTGGCCTTCATTCTTTGTAAGAGAAACAGGGTCATCTTCAAAACTGGCGCCTTCAGGACCTTCAAAACCCGCTCCAAGGTAAGACTGTTAAACTAAGTCGTCCAACTTTGTCCCTTTCTCCTGCTTTCGTTTACTGCCTTATATGTTCCTTCCATCTTTTTCTATCTCTACTCCCTGTTCTGTCTATTCTTCTTTCTTCTTCCACTATTTATACAAATCAGCTGTCGCCTCACTCTTAGGGAGTTAAGTCTCAACCTAACATGTACAAACATCACTAATTCACCTTAAAGTGTCCCAGAAACCAATTCTAGTGTGAAATGTCACCAAACCTTACATAACCCCGGTTCTGAATGAGTGGCACATCGCACAACAAACCGATTGTGTTAAGTTGTTCCTTCAGGTCAGAAAAATTGAATCCCATCTGTGGGAGCCTCACTCATTTGCTTTGTCGCTGCCCAATAGCCCGTGGTCATTGCTAATCATGCATGCTGGGAAGGCTAATCGGCCGAGAAGAAATAGGCAGGGCTTAGTGTACTGGAAGTGAACCTTAGGGTAATGTTGGCCCTTTCACAATAATAGCGTTCACTCAAAGTCAACTCATTTGAAGTTAAATAGAAATCAATCATTTCAAACGAGCATGTACGTAATAGATTGCCACCAGCTGGTTTGATCAGGTCAGATTGTTTTCCTGGACGCGGTGTAGTGCATGACGCCAGATCAACAGCTGCTTGTGTCACTGCAGTCAGTGAAGTGGTAAACAAGCAATAAGCTCGGCCAGCCTCGTTTGTTCTGAAGAGGCTCTTGACGTGACTTTGTTCAGTCTTGAAATGTGTTTCACACTTGATATCATGATTAGACCAATACACAGCATTTCAGTCTCCAGATCAAAGAAGACTTAAAAGCTTTGACCATCAGTAAAATATATTTCTACAAATATCTTTACAACGTTTCTGATATTCCTGACAAATATCATGGTGGAGCAAGAAATTATATATAGGCTGACATCAAATTGCAAATAATGCTGTGTAAGAAAACCAAAGGTAAAGTAGTAAGGTGTTTTGATGCTATAGTAAGTGGTGTTGAATGGGTAGCTCTACACTGGGCATTGTAATCAGCTTTCTGATACTCTATATACTCTATACAAACCTGAATATTTTAACATCTGTCAACCTATAATAAAGTCGTAGAATCACCGGGAAAGTATTCGATTTCATTCGCTTTTCTTCTAAAATGCAACAATTGAACATAATTCTGCATCAAAGTAGGTGACAGATACATTATATACTTAATTAAAGGATAAATGTAGCTGATTACAACTTGAATCGTCTTCCGTAGTTTGACCATCATTTCTGTCAGTTATGATATTATAACACTGCACTCATTAATGTGCTGACATCTGGGAACACAGCTGTCTGTGGGTTTGACAATGTTACATATGAGTGTCTATAAGAAAATGTTACAGTGGATACATTTCACAAGGAATTGATTTTAGATAATGGCATTTGTTGTTTTTGTATAATAGTGGCATTGAGTTACACTCTTCATTATCTGATACTTCTCTCAATCATTCTGAACAGAGTTGGTGGAAGGCTTTTGCTGACAGATCCACATATTAAAAGAAAATTCTGTGGTAATAGGTTTGTAATATACCCATTTATATAGAAGAACATACATTGTGTGAAGTTGTGTTTGCAAGGATATGTATATATATAAATATAGAATGGATATTAGAAAATATTTTGGAGGGAGGTGAGCTTGCTTCAAGTCTTTATTTAGTTTGTTTCTGCCATAAACATGCACGCTGCAGCCTGATGATGCCTTTGGTGGTTTTTGGTCACATGACCCTTGACTAGAAGCAACAATGAATTGATCCAGATTGTGTGTATCCAAAGCCTGATATATCATGTGTGCATTGATGCCACACATGAGCCACACTGTTGCATCGGGTGACATGTTACCTTATTACAGTACCACAAGCATGGGCGCTTTAGTTTATTTTGATGCAATCCCACATACACTGTCCTGCTGCCAGAAATTCTCACTAGAGCACCAAATGTGTATTAATCCACACAGCAAAAATCTGCATTCTAAAATATACAGCTAGTGTATAACAATGTTATTAACACAGATAAGAGTGATAGCCAAACTCTGAAAATTGGATATATTCTGTCCTATCCTATCCTATCCTGTCCTATCCTGTCTTTTTGTTCTGTTGTATAATTATACTAACCCCTCCCTGACCTTGTCCCTCTGACTTTCTCCCTGTTTAGACCTCATATCGAAGGGAGGGCAGTTACCACCACCAGGTATTCACTAAGACACTGGTTGGGTGGATTACTGACTGCCTGACTGAATTACTTAATGTACTGATGAATGAATGAGTTACTGCTCTGTTTGCTGATTTGGAATGACTGTGTTGATCAACTCGTGTACAACTGCCTTGTGGGCTGCTTATTTCTGTATGCGTTGCCTGTGTTGCTGTTGCTGGGTAAATCCTTGCATGTAGCTACCGTGCTGTGGACATGCCTTATTCCACCATCTTCATTGGCTATGGGAGATCAATAGGAAGAGAGAAGAGAGAGGCAGTGAGGAAAGGTAAAAAAAACTCTAATAGGGGTGTAAAATTCACAAGCACGTTCCTTAAGATTTAAATTGTTTTGGTTTGAGTCGATCGGCTGAATTAACAAGGAGAGGCTAGCTCGTAAAAACAGGCAAATGAGCTCAGTTCTGGCGGGCAGAAGAAGCAGTTTTTAACCGAGGCTCATAAACATGAATAGCGGAAAGGAATTTCAACACCTGCGAACCAAACCAATCTATTTTTATTTTGTAGCATCCATAAAAAGTGACTCAAGCTTGTGTCATCAGCCTAGACTGCCTCTCTGCCAGTCCCTTTCCCTTTCAAGCCAGTCGTTTTATCCTCTCAGATGAAGCCACTCTCATCCCTCAGTGGCTCAGCAGGAACCCTACGCAGACCCTCAACCCAATTCTTTTTTATATGAGGTTCTCCACTGGATTATGGTCGCTACTTTATCATGGTTAGACCCCAAAAAGAGCAACAATGGCCACAGAGGATGGATAGAAAATGCTAAAAGGCTTTAAATTACAAAGAATCGTGCAGAGGCCCTCCCTGTGGTTGCTGTTGCTTTGGCAGAGCGTGTCAGCTGATTTGCGGGTTGTTTTTATTTACCACACCCCTTGAGAGGCAAAGTGAGGAAAGTGAAGGATGATGGGATGGATGAATGGGCATGCAAAACATTTTTGATGGTGTGACACCACAGCACAGCAGGGTGTAAACCCAAATATATGTACATGATGTGTGTGTGTTGTCCTTGTACTGTAGTCTTACATTAACATGAACAACAAGGTTTTGTATGCTTTCACAATTGTTTATAAACATTTAATATTACTTATGTTGTGTTTTACGAAGGAGTGCATCAAATATTAAATTGTCTCGAAATGAGATCACACAAGTGCTGCCGTGAGGCTACAATCACTGTTCTTATCCACAGCGTTATTTACCCTCTTCCAAACCCAAGCAGTGGCATGCATGAGCAAATGAGATAAATATTTCACACAGGGATTTAGTTTGGGAAGAGCTTGTGGCAATGTGACAAACTGGAGATAAACATTTCTAGTTGTTTTAAACATAGGTCAAACTTACCTACCTTAAAACTTAAGACTCACCTGCCTACATGTACACTGAAAGAGTTACTGGTCACTGTATTCAGTCCCACTGTCCACACCAGCCTTGAAGGCACTGAGAGATGTGACCGGAAATAAGGGGGAATAGGGGATAACATGGAACAGGGCCCCCGGCTTAGAGCTTTGATCGGGCCCAAAAAAATCAGGCCTGACCCCAACCTGAGTTTCTGCTTAAAATAAATAAATCATTCAAATTGTTAATTACAAGTAAACTACATTGTGCATGTAATTATCAAAGTGAATAAATAAAACATTAATTCTTTAGTCGCATGCATTATAATTAAAATATTAAATATATAAAAAAGAATTAAAATATTTCTGTCCAGATAAAATATCCATGTGATAATTAGGTGTAAATGGGGTCTGTGTCAGAAGCCCACCTCAGTGACTGAGTGAGTATGTGTTCTGTTAAAGTCATATGAATAGTAACCAGACCTATGCAGAATAATAGACTTCATTAAGTTGATCTGCTGGGTGTGTGTGTGTGTGTGTGATCTGCTCCCAACTGCTCAGCTATCAGTCACCATGCAGGACAGGCTAAAGCTGCTGATCAATAATGTGGTTTATACCAGGTCTGGTTGTGTGTTTAAGCATTAAAGAGTGATTCTGCAGAGTCCGGCCCACTTCATCACTCTGTGCGTCGCCTGTGCAGCCGGAACATTCTTCAAAATGGCTTTTACTCCCTCTGTGCGTTCTTGTATAGGCGTGAAAGCCTCAGATAGCCGGCTTCCATGTGGAGTACAATAGAGGTGGAATCAGCAAAAGTAGAAGTAATCCATTTTTCATTTGTAAGGTGTTCAATGTAAGCACAATGCATTCGCTGCCATTTAAAGGACTCAAGGTATTTAGCATTTTGCTGCATCATGCCTCAACCTGCCCCTGGAGGAGTTTATCTAACCAGTGCAGCACTGGGCTGATGTGTACCCCAGTCTTCCTCGCGGTGTCTTATTCTGCTTCTTAAATTCACCCACTCTTTGGGATGTTTTTGTTTTCATGCAGCTCTGCGCTGCGCTTCCGTCATTCGCCCTGCTAGAGCTGAATTTAAATCAATATGGCTGCAGGGGGAATAGAGCATATCTCATCCATCTGCTGTACCTCATCAAGCTGCTGTTGGCTGTTGCTCTGAGTTAAAATTAGACATGAGGAGAGGCTTCTGTTTGATAGTGCGGGCAAGGAAAATAAGAGTGGATAATTTGGTGGTGCAGCAGGGTCGTGCTCACAGTCACTTCACATGACCCTTTTAACTAAAAGAAACAGTCGGACCCTGTGACCCCGCGTTCTCTCTCTTCTCTCCTGCCTTTTTCCTCCATCACTGTTCTAAATAGATGTGGAGAAAACCGCCATCTAGCTCTGACAGACTGATCAGAGGCTCACGCCATACCACAAGCCCTGTCCACAGCCAAAGTCTTCATTAAACTGAACTGCTTGCGCAAGATGAAAGATGGCCATTTGTTAAGTCAACATGCTGTCAGTGGACACTGGAAGAGAGGGAGAGATGCTGGTGGAGACAGGGAAAAGAGAAGGAGGATTAGAAAGGAAGACGGGGCAGAGACTAATAGGAAAGACGGATATGTGAGTGTGAAAAGAACAGACAGAAAGAGAAAGACCTTGAGCCAGTGCAGTAAAATGCGAGTCGTGAAATGTCAGGCGCACTTTTCAAGGTTACACCCCTCGGCTCTGTCATTTCTGAGAATCCATACTGTCTCCGTGCATGACAGCCATTACCCATCAGCCACTGAGTGACACATCTTTCACTGTCCATGTGCAGTGTGCATCGGGTCATCATCTAATGTTTGCTCCTCGCTAATCCATACACATGCATATTGGTGGAGGGAACAGCACATTTAATTCACCACCTCCCTCCTCCCTCGTCTGCTGCCCTTTGTTCGCTCGTCATAAACACACACACACACGCAAATACACTCACGCACAGCTAAACTCCTCCTCAACCTGTGAACACCATGAGGCCACAGGCAAATTAATGTTTGCACTCTCCATACATCTTTCACACGACAGAGTCACAACTGTCACCATACATCACTTCAGCGGGTAGAGGATGCGTGCAGACACACGCACACTCAATCCATATATTCATGCCACGGTGAGACGGCCTATCCCCAGTCTTTTGCTCTAATGTGTGTGTGTTCCAAAAGAGCACGGATCAGTTTCCTGACACTCATCCACGGCCACAGCCACGTGTGTTGGAGCTAGTTGATGGCACAGCGGTGTATATGACTGATGAATTATTAACAATGCCGTCAGCTGGATGCCCACGCTGCCTAACGTCACATGCACTCAGAATTTAACATGCATCATCAAATGCATTAGGCGTCCCATTTTAGAGCCGCTCAAAATAGAAAAAGGGAGGCAAAAAAATCAGGGTTTCATTTGCTTTGTTGTGTAACCCAAAAAGGGTCTTTCTCTCCTTTTTTCACTCGTTCTCTGCTCCATAAATTGAAAGGCATTTAGTTTAACAAAGAATGTGTCCAGGGCTTGGAGGTTTAGCAAAACACGTCTTCTGCTGCCTTTCTCCCTTTGTGTCTTTATGCCAAAACCCCTGACTTCAAAGGTGCTGTTAAGCTTTATTATTTATTTATTTTTCAACTTTTTCATTATGCTAGCTGTGGTGTTTTGAGACAGATAAAAACTGGTTTGGGGGAGGTCCATCCAATTACCTTTATCTGAAATGGAAGCAACACTTATCTGGAGGTTTTTCTTTAATATTCAGGAGACCATGTCATGTTAGCTGTAAGCAACTCTGACATCCGTTCAGCTGTGTCGGGCTGTCCAGCACTTCAGCTGGGCTAAAAATCTAACCGCTACACTTTGAAGGACTTTGCTGTTGATCAGATCGGACTTCAACTATTTTGGAGTGGAGTGGTTTATGTTACCCATTCAAATCAAGACAGTCACATGCCCAACTTAGATTCTAGATATTTCTGCTTTAGGATCTCAACTTCATGGCAGATAGTGCCATAGCTGCACTATTTTGTATTTATTCACATTTAGGGGAAAATAAATCTTAAAAATCATCATCAGTTTAAAAACTATTTTTATTTTTGGCTTTATGCCTTTATTTGACAGAGACAGCCTAAGTGAGATATGAGAAAGGCGGGAGAGAGAGGGGGTGACATGCTACAAAAGAAACTTGGGCTGTTGCTTTAGTACATGGTGCACAGCTTACAGGGCACCCCAATTAAAACACTACAATGAACAGGAAACCTGAGGTGTGACAACTACTAACTACATGCAGCAGGTTACTGTTTATTATCACTAATGCTGCATTTTGCCATTGTAAATTGAGATTAAGCCACAGACGTTGGACGGCTGGTGGTTGTTTACTTTGACTCTCAGGGTTCTTGTGGCCAACCAGAGCTGACACCAGAGTTGGGACAAATATTGTGAATCCACAGGGTCTTAAACCGCATCACTGCTTGTGATTTAGGCTGATTAATCTGGGTTGTTTTTATCTGAAGGTACAAACATAAATATTTTCCGGAGAAATTGTAATTTAGCATTTTCTCAAAATGTCTTGGGAAATAACATCCACACTTTGTGCATCTGTGTGCTGTTATGTGCTTTGGTTGTTGGATTAATCTTGTGACTCCATACCATTGAGACTCTCTTACCAACTTTAGCTGCAGTTTCCTATACTTTGATGGTTCCTTTGAACCATTGATCATGGTGTAAGTGCTACATATTTTGTGGCTGCTTTATCACTCATTGCTCATTATTGTGAGTTCTTAATGTAGTAAAGATGTAAAACTGTATTGTACTGTGAAATACTACTGTATCTTGCTCCCTTTTTGCTGTTGTTGCATGTGCTTTATGTCCTGGACACCGCTGCTTGTTTTAATGCATCAAGTTGCTGTTGATCCATCAATCCAACAGGCAACTTAAACTGAAAACAAAGCCCATTTTATAAACAAAAGAAACACCCTTTCTCAGTCATTCTGCAGTACACTAGGAATACAAACACTGAAGCATTTTCTTAACCAATCAATTTGAAATGTTCCTGAATGGATTGATCTACAAGCTGCAATATCTTTGACTTTCAAATTGTACTTAAGGGTTTTCTGACTCCTCGTGTATCTTTTTCCCTGCCAGCCTGTCCAGGGCTTCGACTACGCCAAGAAGCACATGGGGCGAACAGGGGATGAGGCCATCTCCGTTACTAAGGAGACACTGGTGCTGGGGCTTCCTGTACGAGATGCTCCACTGTCACTGTCATTGGATAAGAAGGTCCACCAAGATGGGACCGCCAGCAAGAGGCCTCCATCTGCTGACATACACAAAGGAGGGTAAGACAGTCACTGACTCATGTGTTTGCTTGTCTGTTAGCTTAAATGGGTTCTTTTTTAGAAAAGTATAGTAGCTTCGCTGATTGCAGGGTTCGTGGTTCGATCCCCACCTTCTCCTGTCCACATATCCAAGTGTCCTTAGGCAAGACGCTGAACCACACAGAAAGACTGTTTGCTCCCCAGCCACAGGGATGCACAAGCCAGTGAATTCCTAATTGCCGGTCCCAAGCCCAGATAAATGGGGAGTTTTTTGCGTCAGAAAGGGCTTCCTATGCCACACCAAATGCAAATCATCAGATCTACAGATGATACACTGTGATGACCCCTACAGGGAGCAAAAGGAGGAATTGATTCTAGATCAAAACCCCTTACCTGAATTAATTTGGGTATATCACAGAGATAACACAGATAATAATAGTGGTAATAGTAGTAGCAGTAGAATCGGAAGCTATTGAATTTATAGAACGCTTTAAAATTGGGGGGAATTGTTTGGGTCAAATTTTAAGAATCATTCCAATTACATGTTTGACTTATTACAGCCTTATGGAACTATGACTAATCATAGACTATATACAATCTGTGTGGCTAAAATGTTACATTTACACATCCAGCAGACATGAGGCAACACACATAGATAGTGTGCAGTAGGTTTCAGAGCTTTTTTAAATAAGAATAGCTGATGGAAACAGGCTTGATGAATGCAGTTAGATTACACCAGATAATTCCTCACTACAACTGACACCTTTCATGTTAGACATAGCCATTTGACCCATTATTCATATAAAAATATTAATTTGTGCAGCTTTAAAGCTATTTAGTATATAATACAAATACTTACTAGAACGATTTTCACGGGTGTCAGCATGAAACCCAAATATTGTTTGGCATAATTTGGTTTGGTAACGTTACAGAGCACCATTTTGCATATTTAAAGCCAAACCCTGAACTGTTTTGAGTTTCAGAACAACCATTTGGCAAGGAGAAGATTTGGGGTTTATAGTTTGCTTTTGGACATTACAACAAAGCATCTTTAACTGTGACAGGTGCATAGACTGGGGCAAATAGAAGAGATCACTTCCACACTGCTGATATCATAATACATAATTCATTACAAATGTGGATGTTTTGGCAAAGTCTGCTCAGTCAAATAATCTCCATAGCCTGTGATTCTGCACAGGTACAGAGTTGAAATAACGAGCTGATCACACATACTGTTCCCAGCTGGAGGCTTTGTGAAGGGGAACCACAAAGTTCTCCAGCAGATGTTTCAGTCAGTGAACAAGCCAGCAACAAAACCCCAAGCTTTTCAGCAGGACCAGACAGCAGTGTTTGTTTGTGCATTGCAGTGTTAAGCCACAGAGAAGCCAGCAGTAAGCAGTGCAGACTCTGACAGATTGACATGATCTTAAGATAAGTCCAGTGCTAACGAGGAGTTGTTTGGAGACAATAAGAGGAGATTTGAACAGTGCTGAGACAATACACTGATGCTGTGTCATGTTGCCAGAGCAAAGGAAAAAGTGAAGGTGCCACAAGGAGCATTTTGCCACAGTCATTTTGAGCTGTTAACAGCCTAACACCTATTTGAGCCATGGTCTGACACATACATCCTAGTGTGCTGGAAAGTTTCCTTAGAGCAAAAAGGTGCTGCGAATTATAACAGGATATAAATATAAATGACTGTGTCTCTCCTTCACTGATGAAAAGGATGTAATCACCATTAGGAACAGATTTTACTGCAGCTTTGATACTAGAGATTTTAGATAAAAATAGACAGAAATGAACAACAAATTTTGTATGCAAGATCCTGCTGTGAGTGAGGGGGTTATTACTGTGGATGATGCACATTACCAGTTTAAATTATCCAAGGCCTCGTGAGAGATCTGCTGGATCTGATGGAGCTAGCTATATGATCTCATGTGAAAACAGGCTGGATACTGGAGTGTCTCACATATATTTATAAATATTACTCTGTCCCCGGCAACTGTTGTTGCAGGGGTTGTTGTCCATTTAAACATCCTCAGCCACGATAGCTGCTATCGAAGAACTGCTTCATTATGTCCAAAATAACAGTCCAGACAAAATAAATGCTCAGTTTTATTGAGTTTTTGGAGAGACATGTAAAGGTCTGTCTCAGTAGAGGTGGGGAATTGACTGTTTGTAATAGTAAACAATATGCATCAGCCCCTAGAAGATTTACATGAAAGGCATCTAATTGAATATAAATGCATTGTTTAGATATGAATAGCTGAACAGATACAAACAGCATCTGAATTTTTGCTGTAATTGTTGTATTTGCTTCTGTCACTCAGGTGAGAAAACATCAATTCTTCTTAGAGTCATAGCTCAGTCAAATTAAAACTCAGGGACATCAAACATAAGTTACTACAATCGCCAGAAACAACATAAACACACAGTGTGAACCTATTGTAACGTCTCCCATTGCAGAGTACTATTTTGTAGAGATTGGCATTATGGCCATCACCATGTTGGTTTTTGCAGCCAGCAGCTGTGATGTACTGCGAGTTGTGAGTTGGCTGCGCTTGGTTTCAACTCATCCGCAGCAGGAAACACTTTTTTTTAAATTTAGACTCAGTTTAGGCTTACCTCTTTCTATTTTTTAAGTTGGCGTTTCAAATAAAAATCATGCTTTATTTATTTTAATACAAGCTGCACTCACACATGTATGATAAGAGGAGTATAAATGATAAATTATTTCACTCACTTCCTGTGCAGAGCCAGATGCACCAGTATTGCATAGCTGTGTCAAGATTGATCTCCTTATTCAGGAATGTACAAACCCAGATTCACCTGGTGATTCTGTGGTTAAATAACATTTCTGGGTGAACGATTTTCTTGTTATTTTCAGTCAAAAAGAAAACTGTCCTCTCATTAGCAAAAATTAACAGAACTGGATTTTATACACCCTGCACACTAATGAATGTCAAGCCTCTACTCTAGCCCACACATTTTTAAATATGCGAATAACATGGAATTAGATGTTTTCTTGTTGCCAAATTCTGCATCCCTGACTTTCAGGGAGGAAAAAATCCATTAAATCCATTAGGTAGTGTGCAGATAATTATCTACAAGAAGATGTATGCAAAATAATTTGATGTCCCTCTGACCCATTGTTGGTACCTTATTAAAACTAGAGGAGAATATTTTTGCTACTTAACTTTTAAGTTAAGTGAAGGATATTAGAGTAGTTCTGAGGTCTGTGTTAGAAAGTGTACCATTCTTTTTCATAGTCTTTTTTTTAAGAAATGTGCATTGTGCACCCATTGGATGACACAATTCTACAGCACACGGATCTGTTATTAGCTATAAAATTCTGTTCTCAGCTTAAAAAAAGCGCATCAGATCCTTGTAATGACTTAAACTTTCAGCTAAAGAGATGATCATTTGCCCTCACAGGCATTGAGTAAGTGCTGTGGATTAGACAGGTTTACTGGATAATTTACTGTGTGTCTGGGATAATATATGAGAGGGATGATGGGTAATGCAAAATTTACAGTGCATTTGACTGCTGCTAATCTTCATGTTTTATGCTATTTGTCTCCATTTTAGTGTTTCCATATATTTTATCCATCTTTTTGTACTGTTACACTGTTTTCTGTCTTATATCTTCATGTTATTGTCTTCTATTTTTTATGCATGAGCAATGAATATGATTTGTAAACATCTGTTGGAATCCCACAGTTTTAAATGTATTTACCGGAATTGCAAAACAGTCTTATTCCCCATAGACTTCACTAGGATTATGAGTTATAATCTACTCTGTGCATGAACATAGAAAACATTTACAACAGAATGATGAAAACAACATTTTTCAACTTTTTCATCCCCAGACAGTTCCCTAAAACAAGATAGACCCATACACCCACCCACATTCAGTGGTGACATCTTTCCTTAAGGAAGTCATAAATGAGATGCATCATGCCTCCTCTCGCAGAAATGCTAATTCAGAAACACACACACACACACAAGACATGAACATTGCCTCATGTTTACACACCACTGAAGGAAAATGAATGAAGGTGGGATTAGTTTTTAGTTTTAGTGCTTTGCTTCTCGAAGATGATAAAAACATGTATATTTATAACCCTGACTATTGCCATGCCAGAGAGAGTCATTCAGTCTAACAATGATGACAGTGTAAAATGCTGGAAGAGCTGGCATAGTGTACTAATCAGCTTTACCAACCTGGATATACACACACATGGGGAGCCATTTTTCAAAGAAGGTATCATAGGTTATTCTAACACCTGGGTGTACACTAATTACAAAATGAGGCAGGAGCTCATCTGCTAACTATTGCAGTATGGAGTGCAATGGGATGAGAGGGGAAATTTCACACCAAAACAACAAGAAAGGATGCAATTATTCTTGGACTAAATAGTGGTAACTGAACAGAGAACAAGACTTCTGAAGTGTTTTCTCTCTTCAAATGCACAGGCACAAACAGGCCTGCTGTGCTAAATCAGAAGAAAAATAGATAATAAAAGAGCTCTTGGCAGCAAAGATTACTTAAAAAACAAAAAATAAACTAAAGCTTGAAAAACTAAAGCTGTGTCTGAAATCACTCCCTCATTCACTCATTATCCCTTTATATATTGGACACTTGGTAGGTTACTTTATAGTGTGGAGTGTATAAAGAGAAAAAGGACTGTAATTTTCACATCTCTAAACTTACCTTTAAATTGTTAGTTTTTAGGAAAACGGCTGTACTGAGGAACAGTGGAGCTTTAAGTTAATGCTAATATTAGCATGCTAACATGCTTACCTGACAATGCTGCTAGAGGAAAGGTTAAGGGATCTCTAAACTGATTACAATTCATCAACTTGGGGAACCTGAATGTCTGCACCACGTTTGTTTGTTCTTAAGACATTTCACTTGCTATCTGTACAGCCGGTTTACATGGCTGAAACTATAAATTTACTGTTTATTTAATTCACTTCCAGTATACCACTTTAAACAAAATATATACCGTAATCTAAAAAATATATATTATACGCATGCTATGAAGAAGCAGGGAGAATAATAAAAATTCTTAAGCTACGTTGTCAAAATCAATCAATGACAAAGACATAGGCTGTAATCCAAATCACTCCCTATTATGAAGTGCACTATATAGCTCCCACTGGACATGGGCGATTAATCTCAATTCATCTGATTTTACGTTTTAAAACAATGCAAAAAATGGCTGAATCACAAAATCGAGATTTAAACTACAAATGTTATATTATGGGGATATATATACAGCAGCTAAAGAGCCCCAATCCTCTCCGATCACTCATCTACACAAAATATAGAGAATAATTTTCCCATAGTACCCTATATGAGAAGAAGGGGGTGTTTCACATTGCCAAAGATATGTTGTCTTGTGGTGTTTGTTTTTAAGAAAACAGAATACAGTAAAATTGTAAATCAGATGTGGTTTATGCTATATCGGCCTGCCCTACTGTCAGCCATTTCATTTGTTGTGTGGGACAACCAGCAATGATTGGTTTGTCACGGCTGGAAGGGGGGAGCAACCGTAGCGACGGAGTAGCCTACAGCAACTAGGAGTATGGCGGAGACATACGACATAAGCACTCATCGAAAGTGATTGTGTAATTACTGTCACTGGCCGAGGGGAGAGACTGAAGTTTCGCACTACACTGTTTAAGTCTCCAGATTCTGAGTGTGTAAATGTATCCACTAAATAGAGCCCTCAAAACTTCAAAACCTTAAACCAAAAATGCCCTTTAACCAGAACAATCCTGTCGGAGTCGTAGTAAGAAAAGCACGATGTTATTAATAATATTAACAATGGTGCAGTTCTATTCACGTGTCCCAGTAAGCCATGACCCAACCTGAACAATACCATGACCCTGAAACTAAAGCAAACATTTATTTAATTTTTTACACCAGAGCTTTTCCTACTGTGACATGTCAAAATGTCTTCAGTGAAAACGTCTATAATTACAACAACCTCTTGCTATAAATATGAATACACACTTACACAACCATTAACAGTACACTGAACCTAAATATTATTCATTAAGTTCAAATCATCCAATTAATTGATATATTTGCAATATATCAATACTGCTTAAACTAAATTTTAATTTCCTACAGAGTTTCAAAATTTGATTCACGTACTGAAATACACATCTACTGTGACATGGTATGTGCATTCACATGTTTTAAATCAAACATGTTGGTATATAAATTCACAACTTTGCACAGTAACTCAAACACAGTACAAAAAAGAAATTTGATTAAATTTTTTTTACATACCCTCTAATGCAACTATTGTTAAAAAACCCTTTCAATATAATGTTTCAGTGTAACTGTATCTATAGATATTGTGACATTATAATATTTTTTGATTACTAAAAATACTTACTATTACTGATAATTTGTCTTTGTCACAAGTTTTCTAATTTAGCCTCATATTTTCTCTTCAAACTAAGCAAAAACAGCAAAATAATTGCAGTCGATATAAATCAATTTATTCTGAAGCCTGTAACATTGTCTCAACACAATAGGTGATGAGATCTGCACTTTCAGATTCAAGATGCAAGACTCAGGACATTCGCTGAAACAACCTAAAACAAGTGAAACCGTTAAACAGCAGCAATAATTTCAGCTGCAGATTGCTTACTTGTCTGAGGAAGGAGAAAGGTGCAGACTGAATGCTAACCACAGGGGCCAAGTGGAAGGACTGTTCATAGGAAGAGCATTTATTCTGCTCACTGCATCCTCCATGGAGCTACGGGAGTCGAACTTTGCTTTCCAGCTGTGTGATTATTGATTCTGTTGCTCCTCTCTCTGGCCTTCCCACACAGATTTACATGGAACACACACTGTATTTCTTCCTCCAGCCCTTAGGCTTTTTGTTTATACCACGACTTTTACGGTGACTCGGCCTGCCATTGACCGCTGCTCAGACTGCACTGCGTGTTTAAATGTGTGTGTGTGCGTGTGTTCACACAGACAGGGTGTTAGCCTCGCCTGTGGCTCTGTAATGTCCGGTCTTGCTGATCTGTGCATCTCACACCACCTGTAGACGGGCCTGTCACATTGTGTAGCTGCTGCAGCCTACATGTCTCGAGGCTGTGAGTGTGTGTGTGTGTGTATCAGTGTGTGTGTCCTGTATGTGGTTTACATGCCTGGTGTGTGTGAGGTAGGAAGAAAGAGAATAAGCACTGTTTATGTCTTCATATATGTTGTTGCATGAGTTTGACTCTTCTAGATTCCTGTGTGTGTGTGTGTGTGTGTGTGTGTGTGTGTGTAAGGGCCATACATGTACATTGAGCTGTTTCCATCAAGGCCCTTGGCTGTTGAACAACCTGCCCAACAAAATCAGGATTGTTGCTGTTCTACTTGTCCTTTACATTTGTGCTACATTTCACAACATTTGCTATACTTTAATATAGTTTGTTTTTATGGGATAAATTCCATTAACAAAAACACAAAGAAATGTGGAATCGCAAACCATCTCACAATAACTGCAACCCAAAATTATTATTATTATAAAATCTGGCAAAGAGTAACAGAACAGGAGTTGTATGGTCTGCCTGGTTGGCAGGTTACATTAGCATTTCTGAGCCACAATCAAATCACTATGCTCGTACGATTGTCTGACAACTAGGGGCAGTTGCAGGGGTGGCATGAGCCTGATATGACTGTTAACATGTCTTGGTGAAGTTCATCAAATGACAACATAGACACACAAAACGACCACAACGAGACACAAAACAATGCTTGCCAGTATTTGCTCACAACAAATTGCAATAACTTCAGAGTGCTGTAGAGGTCTTAACTGTTAACCTTAACTCCTTTTAGGGAATACTACTGCCTGAATGCTAATAGCATTGATAGCATCAGAGTTCTATGGTGGATTCTTTAAGTTCATAGCAGGATCTGACAGCAGAGCCACACCACTCTTAATCATTTTTGGATTGCAGTTATTGTTGGATGCCCCATTAATGTTCATTTGTTTAACTTAGATTTGAAGTTGATACATAGCGTGTTGCCAGTATTGAGTGTGAGGTGATGCTGTTTGTGAACACACTTGAGACTCACAAGCCCTCCCCTCCCTTTCTCTTCACTCCTTTGCCTCTCTCTGTTGCCATGGATACTACAGGCGGTTGCCAAGCGAGGAGGACGGCTCGATGTCAAGTAACGGCTCCGGGAAGCTGAACACTAGCAAGAGCTCCTCGGCCCGAAGGACGGCGACTGGCAGCAGCAGCAAGAATGGCAAAGAGGAGCTGCACAAGAGAAACACCAATGGTGAGGAAGAGGAGGAGGAGGAGGAGGAGGCGGTCAGGGAGGAAATATGGAGGGGGGGTTAAGAGAAAGAAAGAGAGACAAGAAGATACAGAATAGGAGTAAGTGAGGTAGACGATAAAAAGGATTAAGTGAAGAAGAAATATTTAGATACTGATACTGATGGATAGATAAAAAGAGAGAAAATCTGTCTCTCCTTATGTTTGTTCCCACTATAAAGTCTGTCACTGGTAATAAATAAGTGTTGATGACCAAAAAACACACTATCCTTACTCATACAAACACATTTGTTACACTACTTGTGTTGCCCAAACACACACACACACACACACACACAGACTGCTGCTGCGTCATGTAACTGTCAGTGATGACACACACTCATACCACATACACTCACGTGTCTTTTTCTCTCATACACACAAACAGCAGACAAGCTGCTCTTAATCAAAAGAGACGTTTCAGGTGTTTGTGTTTCAGTATTTCAGGTGTCTTCAGTTAACTTATCTCATTCCAGGACGCAAAGCTGAAAAGGCTGTATAGAGATAAAAGCCAGCGGTTGGCAGTGCATGCACCTTAAGCACTGCATCAAGTTACTTTTAAGTGGAATCACACAGGAAGATGGGACCGTGGGTGGAAAGAGTTTTGACAGCACACTGTCACATTAGGTGTTATTCAAATCCATACAACTCACAGCATATGGTTTGTGCATTGGAGCAATGACTCACTGTTAAATCTGTGACAAGATCCTGATCCTGGGAGAAAAGACACTGATACACAGTGTAGCTATTAAAAACAAATTAGCACTATAATTTTAAGTAAAGGGATTACTATTTCCCCATCATTTTTACTGAGGTACATAAGCAATTATGTCAGTCTAGTCAGAGATACAGAAACGCATTTTCCATGCTGACCAACTTAAACACAAAACATACAAATATATGCGATATGACACTATTCAGTCAGTATTCAGACGTATCACTTTGTTTAATAAGACACCCTTTATAAAGGGCATATAAGCTGTAACTACTAGCTGTATTATTGTATTATTAATATGTTCCATCCATCATTAACTGATGCTTATTACTGATTACTGATAAGAGCAAAATGTGGTTGCTAGGTTGTGTGTTTTAGCTGGTCTTTGTCCTCCTTCAGGAAGACAGAATGTTAGCAAGTCATTAATAGTAGGTCATGAGAAAGCTTTAGTAAACACTGTTTACTAAACAGTTCATTAACCACTACTTAATTTATTAGTTACACGATCAACATACCACCTAAGCTCAAATCCAATAATTTCCTACACAGCACAGAACATTCTGTGTTGCCTGGTTTTTATTTTGATGTAGTTTCAAAAATGTAGCGCAGTTCCAGATTCAGTCTGAATTGCCGCCAACATCTTTGATTTGTTTGAGAATAGGTGTGGTCATGTGCTCATTGACGGCAGTTTCCCCAAGTTACAACAATAGGCCAGTGAGAACTTCTTCCCAAATAGTCTTTTCTTCTGTCCACTTCTGTCCTGCCAACAAGAAATCAGCTAAAGAAGGAGCACATGCCAAACAGATAGAGGGATACTACTTCACAAAAGCAGGTGCTCTTTGGATCCAAGGTCATATCATGAGACCAAACAAGAGGAGAGGTCAGACTCGTATGTTGCTTTGTGTTCAATAATCATAACCAAAAAATACCAAGGCACGCTGAAAGGAAATGTATGAAAATAATTTAGCTAACATTAACACAATGTTGTAATAATGGTCTTCTTGAAAGGTTTGATAAGTTGAGGATAAGTTGATGAAAAGATATTGATCATAAATAATAATAATAATAAGTGCTATTGCTGTTGGTTGGAGTATTATCCATCTACACAGCTACCTCTCCAGTCTCCAGTAAATATACATTATAATCCTGTTCATATTTTGATATATAGATTTCTAATCAGACACAGGAAGACACATAAACTACACATGCTTTTATCTGCAGTACCTGTTATTAATGGTAAATGTAGTGCATCTTTGATATGACCAGGCAGAAGCTCTGCAGAATTGGTTGCGTAAACATTGCTCTGATCACTGATAACGCTGCAACGGTTTTTTTCCTGTTTCAAGTGGGACATCCTAGAACTCCCTGGGCGAATGTTCAAAAATCTCTTTTGCATCAGCTAACCAATGTTCACAGTAATTTGTGTGATTTATAGTGTTTATGCAAGCGAATGAATGAATACCCGAAGGAGTGGAGGAGAGGATGAGTAATTGTTTCATTTTCTCACTACTGCTCACAGAGAGATGGACAGAAGTACAGTTTAAAAAAAAAAGAGAGATGGCAGAAAAACAGCAGCACACTGGAGCTCTGCTCAAGAAAATGGTACCACTCTCATGTCTGCACACTAATTATGGAGGTTAGCTTAGCTTAGCATGAAGACTGGGAGCAGTTGGAAACAGCTTGCAGGCGCTCTCCAGAGTTCATAAATACACCAACCAGCTACTCTGTATCTCCTTTGTTTAACCTGTACACAAGTTGTGGAACTTTGTTCTTGGCAACCAGTGTCCTGATGTAAAGCTCTCTGCCTCCTGGCTCTGAGAGTACAAATGTGAGAGTGGTGTCCATCATTCTTCTATTTAGATTTTAAATTACTATTAGGAACTTTATTTTCCTGCTGATACAGTAGTATTTCTACTGCCTTGTTTATTGATATCAAGCGCAATCCGACGAAATCTATCCCGACGGCAGAATACCTGTATAGAGATAGTGAAGCTTCTCGCTGATGGTCATTTTATCTCCGCAGGTCTTATAGAGGCATTCATATTAAATTGAAACCGTTTAATAACCAGGTAAATTCTCTAACACCAGTATGGGAGTAGGTTAAAATTTATTCAGGTGTATAGTGGAGCTGTGTGTGTGTGTGTATGTGAGAGTGAGAGTGAGAGATAAAGGATATTATCTATTTCAGCTAGCTTCTTAGATGCACAATGAATGTCTTTAATCATAACTGTGATTCCACTGTGCTATCTGATCTGATGTTTCAGCTTCATGTTTAATTTCTTTATATTAACAGCACTTTGCGTGCTGGCATGAAGGGTGGCCTTTTTTACTGTAAACACATTTAGCCTGTAAACAAGTCGATTTAGTGTAGAGAGAAGGTTACAGTTGAATAACATTTTTTTATTTTAGCTAGATTTTACATTACATGACATTTAGAACAATTGTACTTAAAGAGAGAGAGATGAGGTGGTGAGAGAAAAGGAGGACATACAACAATGGTCCTGATAAAATTGACCAACAAATCAATCTTTATCCTCAGGTCAATGCTTGGCCTTTTTCTGTACAGCTAAAAGTTAATGAAACTTTACTTCAGCAATAAGTAGATCAGTGTAGACATAAAGCAATAAAAAATAAATACAATGTACCTGTCAACAAGCAGATTGTCAGTTGAGTCACAATGTTTGTCTTCCCATGTACAGAAAACACTCGTAAATTGCCCTTAGTCACAGTTGCAAAATGAAGTTATTTTATTCCAGTAAATATAAACAATAAATGAAAATATATTTCATAGTAACCAAATGAAGCTACACTATCAATGTGCTCTATTCCAACACCACTCAGCCATCTCAGGAAAACACTTTATCTGTTTGATTATAACAACAGGTCAATGTTCAGCATCTGTTGTGAGCGTAGTAGAAATGATCTTCTGGTTCAGAGTGCACATTATTTACATGCAGTGTTGTGGTTTCCAATGTGGTTCACAGCCTCTGCTCCCTGTGACGCCACCTGTCCTGACCTTAACTGTCACAGTCTGATAGGCGGTTCAGGAACAGCAGCAAATAAAGCAGGCTGAGCTGCAGCCAGGATGAATGGTGACAGTGTGGGTCTGGAGCTCAGTTAATGGCAGACTGTTGTAGCCCTACAACGAAGCAGTCTGCCATATGATGTCAGTCAGGCAGTGAGTCACAGTGGACCCAGTACAACACAACACTGTCCATCTGCTGCTCCCCGCAATAACACACACACATAAATACACAGAGCCTCGTATACTGTAAGAAACAGATGACATGCCATACAGCTGCTGTTTCCTCATCAAGGCAAACACCATAAAACCAGACCTAAACACACTTTGTAGTGTTTTGCTCTAATCTAAATTTGTAGCCATGTTGCCATGACAACAAGTAAACCTTACATTAGAGACAAATTAGACAAATGTCATTATTTTGGAGTGTGTGACAGCATAGCAATGCCGATGTAAGCATGGAGAGACACAGCACCTGAAAGAAAAGCAGACTTTCAGAATTGTGCATGAAGAACGTGGTACACACACCACAACACACACAACAACACACACACACAGCACCCCTATCGTACACCGATACCCCCGCCTCTGCATTCTATACATCACGTCTATGCCCACGTGTTGGCTTCCACATAGTTTCTAGATTATGCTTTTACCAGTAACCTCACATCGCAAAGTTTCCTTAAAGTAATTTTTAATTAAGCTAGGAGCAGACTTCTCTATCGTTGAAATATTAATACACCATTTTAAAACAGAAAATGCGTGTCCCCACGGCAATATTAGCTATCACGCAGCCAATCAGCCATGCCAGTGTACCGCTCAATAAGCTGAATTTCTACAAACTCAAATACAGCATCATATATTACTGCTACAGCTTACATATTAAATTGGGTAAAGACAAAAGGAAACAACGTAGGAAGAATACAATTGCATCAGGACGAACAACGCACTCTAGCTAGCTTGCTGGAGCCCCAATTATACAAGAATGTTTTGACATATTGGGAAAATAACTTATTCGTTTCTTGCAGACAGTTTCGTTGTGAGCGCTCAGTCTCTACAGCATTTGAGCTTAGCAATCAAAGACTGCACCAAGGGATATCCAGCTAACTAGCTCTCGCACTGAAGACCAGTTGGTGTTGTAGGGATTAAACAGAGAATCGACAATTCAAGTAACAAGAGCTTTAGAAGGCTTTTAGGTGTAACTTTATTCCGTCCCCTTTGGACAGACGCAAGGGTATACTGCTTTACCCCTTTTGTCTCCAGCTCTTTAGCTAACTAAGCTAATCATCCCGATTTAGGTTTATATACACACAAGCAACAGGACCAAGATGGCATCAATGTTTTCATCAGCTCTCAAGAAGCAAAGTGAAAACATATTTTCAAAACTTTCCTTGCGTTTCCTACAGCAGAAGAACCAAGAAGAGTGCTGCAGTAATAC